TATATATAGAGAGAGAGAGAGAGAGAGAGAGCGAGAGAGAGAGAGAGAAACAATATTTGTGTGAGAACTCCTAATCCAACTAATTTTTTTCGAAACCAATACTACCATTGGACACGAAATGCAACGTTTAAGCCACATCTAGGCTGATAAATAAAACTTATTTTTTGTTGAAGTATACATATATGCACATCTAATTGTTCATATATACAAATTTAAATATTCATCAAATATACGTATATGCTCATTTATAGATTTCAATTTTGATGTTTTCAAGTTGTAATTTTTTGGGAAAATGACTTATGAGGGTAACAAACTATTGTGTTTGTTTTCGTTTGGTCACTTTTTTTTTGTACTATATTTACCATTCAACTTGTTTGTGATGTTCACAAAAACCATTATGACCGGCTATTCTAGGTTTAGCCGGTCAAGTTGAATTTTCCGGCCAATATATGAACTTTCCGGTGGATATATGAACTTTCCGGCGAAAATATGAATTTTCCGGCGAAAATTGAAGTTTTTTGAAGAACTTGAACTCAAAGCTGATGAAGGTTCATCCATGGAAGAAACGGGGCTGGTCTCATTTCTGATTTTGTAGATCTGGAAAATAAAGAAGAAAATGGAGTACTCATTTCAAGGATTCTACCATGGATGTAAAAACATAAGCATGTGTGTGTCGGATCTGATAACCCAGATCTATTCTCCTGTTCATCATCTTCCTAATCACCCATTACCTCCATCGTCACTTTCTCAGTCCACAAGACATCAAAACAAGAAGCACGAGTTGCCTTCCACTTAAACACCACCTCCTTTTTACCTGTTCATCATCTTCCTAATCACCCATTACTCGAACCACCACCTGATACAAACCTAAACCCCCTTTCCAGTCAAGCAATAACCAACAGAAATCGTTTGTTTCTGAAATCCTTGACATTGTGCTAATCGATTTGTGTGTGCAAGTCTAAGAGAAAATCCTTTGATTTCGTTAATGGGTTTTTAGATCTGGGATTGAAGGTTCATCTTTTTTTTTTTTTTTTTGAAATGGTTTGAAGGTTTTCCATAGAAGAAACAAGTTCAAGATGTGCTAGTCGGTTTCTGATATGTATGTTTTTTTGGTTTAAATCATTTCAGTAAAAGATTTAAACTCGCCGGAAAAGTAATGTTCGCCGGTGACTCGCCGGAGAAGATGACCGGAGAGTCGCCGGGGATTACCTAGTTGCCGGAAACCTTCAATAACCGGTAACAAGGGCATTTTTTTTCACCTCCAACAAGTTGAATGGTAAATAAGATACAAAAAAAAAAAAAAAAGTAACCAAACGAGAACAAAACCAATAGTTTGTTACCTTCATAAGTCATTTTCCCTAATTTTTTTAAACGTTGACTTTAAAGTCTCATGGTTGTGTTGGTAATGAAAAAATTAGTAAAATACAGAATATATATTCACATTCAAATGTATATATGTGAACATTTTACCAAAAAAAAGTTCGTTTAATCTTTTGTTTAGTCTATAAATGGCTTTGACGTAGTGTATATATATATATATATATATATATATATATATATATATATATATATATATAAAATCAAGATCAAATAAAGAATAAATATTTGATTGAATGGGTAAAAATTGCATTATTTGCATGTTTTTTGTCGACCAACAAAATGAATTATTAGATGATACAAAAATAATATGATTTATAAAAAAATCTTTAAAAAAACATTGATGATTCATTTTTTTACTGAATCAAGTTTTGATTCATTTTTTGGCCAACTTTAGTGAATCGTCGAAAAACAGATTCATCGATGCGTTTGAAATTTTTTTGCAAATCGTATTATTTTTCTATTATCTAAAGATTAATTTTCTTTATTCGCTAAAAATTATACAAATGATTCACTTCTTATCCTTCATACAAAATTTTTCCTTTTTACAGGATATAT